TTCCCAGAAAGGTAGCTGTCCAGGAAAACCTGCTCCGGAAAGCCAAGGAGGGGAAAGTGGACTCCGAGCCAGGCCTTGGGCCTCCCTCTTGAATCATTTTCCTCGCCGGCCCCCAGCAAGCCTGGAGCTGGGACCTTGCAAGGCTCCCCAGGCAGCTGAACCGGTGGGACCGCTCTCGGCTTCCTTCTTCCTGGCTGCTCGGTCTAAGGATAACAGCAAGGCTTTTTTTTGCGGAGTCACGCCACAGTGATACTCGCTCCCCATTCCCGTCATCTTGTCCCCCAAAATGTCTAAATGGCGGCCAAGCCCGTTGACGACTTTTGGCAAGCTTTTGAGGATCTTGCACTCCCGGCTAGATCTTCAACGCTCCTGCAGCCCAACTGGTTCCAGCTTTGGGGTCCCGTCCTGGCCACTAAGGGGCTTTTGGGGGATGCTCAGAAGCTCCCACTAGATCCCCAGAAGGTCCTCAACAAAACCCCCCCCCCACAAATAATGAACCCAGGACCATTCCTATTTTTTTTTTTTTAAAAAATGTATTGATTCAATTTCTAATTTGGCTGTCTCTGTTCTTCTTCCCTTTTCGAACTATCTCGGTCAATGGCCACCTTCGTTTCTGATTGGCACCAAGGCCACTCCAATCAGCCTGGCCGGTGGCCCAGGGCGATGGGATCTGTAGTCTGACTGCTGATTCTCCACCTGTGTGGAAGAGAGCAGGGCAAAGAAGCTGGTCATTTTCTTTTCATGGCTTCTTTTGGAAGTCGGCCTTGTGAACCCAAAAGTCCCCACGTGATTCCTTTATGGAGCCAGCGGGGCTGGACTTGATGGCCTCAAGGGGACCTTCCACCTTCGCCCCTTAATAACGCCACTTCAAAGGTCAGTTGAGGCCCTTGTTGGAAAGGTTTGAAATTTGGGTTCGTTTTTAGCAGGCTGTTCTCATTGGGTGGGACCATCTTCACATGGGCAGGGGCTCTCTTTTCCCTGGCACAGCTTAGGCAGCGGGTTCGAAACAGGTGTCTGGCCTGGGCTAAACTTCAGTGAAGTCTCTCTTTCCACCCCCCCTCCCTCTCTCTCCATGCCTCTGCTTTCCTTTGCTGCTAATCTCTCCCCATCTTTTGTGGGCCGGAAATGGAGCTGAGCTGGCAAGAAGGAAGCGGATGAAACAAAGAGGAGGAGGAGGTGGGATGTTCTAAGCCAGGCAACACCTGCTCACAGGTAAAGCCTCTGGGGGAGGAACAAAGGCCACTGGGCCTCCAGGAGCGAGTCTGCCCTTGGCATCGCAGCCTTGCAGGCTTGGGCCAGGGGGGGAGGGGGGGCATGGAGGGCAGTAAGTGCCAAGGAGCTGAGTCAAAGCAGAAGCTACCGCAGCTTGTTCACCTTGACTGGGGGAAAGGGCGGGCAGACAGGAGTGGCCCAAGGAATAGGTGTGGAGAGGCTTGGATAGAGCCCAGGGAATTGATGGAGCACCTTATAGAAAACCCCTTTCCTTTCCTTTCCTTTCCTTTCTTTTCCTCTCTTCTCCTCTCCTCTCCTCTCCTCTCCTTTCCTTTCCTTCTTTCCTTTCCTTTCTCTCCCTTCCCTTCTCTCTTCCTCCTTTCCTTTCCTTTCCTTCCCTTCCCTTCCCTTCCCTTCTCTCTTCCTCCTTTCCTTTTCCTTTCCTTTCCTTTCCTTTCCTTTCCTTCCCCTTCCTTTCCTTTGCTTTCCTTCCCCTTCCTTTCCTTTCTCTCCCTTCCCTTCCCTTTCCTGCTTCCCTTCCCTTCTCTTCTACCCAACAGTGCATGTTGCGTATTTTTCTCTGTATGTATGCATGTATTTTAATGTCATTACATGCCATTAGTTGCCCAGAAAGCCTGAAGGCAACTGGACAGACAAATGTCCCCCCAAGTTGTTTCATGCGCTAAAACATGGATAAACACAGACAGCGGCTCTGGGTTCATCTCCTCCAAGGGCAGGGGTGGCATGGCCCTGAACTTTGCCCCTATAAAAACACTGCCAACGCTTTACTACATCTTCATGTCCAGGTGGCACAAGCAATAATTCCTGGAAATCAAGAGTTGTACGTTGTGGTACGTTGTTGCCCTGTTAAAAAAGGCGGGCCAGTGGTGCTGGGCCAGTGCGCTTTGCCCCAGTGGTTCCTTGCAATGTTCAAACCTTCTCAAATCTCACCCCCCCACCCCCCAGCTTGCGTCTCTTATCCCATGCTAGCTCATCCCTGCCTCTCTCCAGGCCTGATCCCGATCGATCCCCTCCAAAACCAGTCCCTGGATCTGTGGATGCCAACCCCTCGGAGCGACTCAGCCCGTTCTGTTCTTCCCCGTGGGAAAAAAAAAAAAGGAGGCGTTTTCTTGTCGCGAAAACCAAGCAGTCTTTTCATCTCTTTCCGAGGTCAGCGTGATCCCAGGCCGTTTTTTTTCCTCCGACAAAGCCAGGCGTTTGCTGCCCTGGGCATCGCAAGGGCCCGAAGTTCTCGGTTCAAAGCACCTTGGTGCCAAAAAGAAAGGGCCAAAACAGAAAGGCCAACTAGGAAAAGCAGAGATGGTGGAGATCAAACCTTTGGCATCTCTCTGCCATGGGGCTGCAAATACTTCCAGAATCCCTTTAGAGACCGTCTGGCGTGTTTTCATTCAGAGCATCACTTGATGGAATGGTTCTTGCCCACTAGGATCACATGCGAAAGAAGATCGTTCTAGGACAGCGTTGTCTTCTGTATCATGGTCAACCAACAGCACATCAAAGATCCTTTTAATCTTAGAGCAAATGATAGGACCGGAACACTCCCTTTAATTTTCCTTGGATTCTGGACAGTTTAATTGGGATGGGCAATCGTTTACCAGCTAGGAATTGGGTTTATTTTTGAAGAGAGAATTATCTTAAGTGGGCAGGGCCATATTATACCACACGGCTGTATCCCCAGGCCTGAATTTTCGGTCCGTTTTTAATTTAACGTTATCAGCAATGACTCGGAGCTTGAGGTCCGGCGACTTGACTCTCTAACTTGCTCTCAGCATTCTGTCCCTCCCTCTTCTGCAGGACAGAAAACCAGCAAGGAAAGGGTTGTGGATTTTGTGGCCGGTGGCTGGCAACCGGGGTTTACCTCTTCCTGGGTTACATCCTTTGGGAATTTTTTCAGATGCCTGGATCTAATTACTGCGATAATTGGCCATTTCATTAAGCAACACCTTGCGGGGGAAGCTGGGGACCCTGTTTTTGGAAAAACAACTCTTAAAAAAACAAAGCCTGTCGCAGGGAGGCCGTAGCTCCATTGCGGGGTTGGATTTATTGAAAATATAAATCCATTTTGTTTTACTGAATCCGCACTGCAGGTCTGCGTGTGTACAGGAGTGAAAATAAAATATTGTTGGTCCTCACCGTTCTCCCACCCACCCCCTTTCTCTCTCTCTCTCTCTCTTTATTTGCTGGCCTTTTTTTAAAAAAAGACTATTGCAGTTTAAATGAATCCTTCTGATTTATTTTCACAATCATCTTTGATTCGTTGAGGTGGGGGGAGAGGGGTTGACCGTTCCGTCGCCAAATACCTGGAGGCGTTTGATGAAAAATGCAAGGGAATTCTGGGAAAAGGGCTGGCAATAGTGGACGGCCACAGCTTGAAATCTGCTCCAGCATTTGCTCCTGGAGATGCTACCAAGGCAGTCTCTGGCTCGCCATTTCTAAGGTTTTGTGGCCTTTGTCATTCCTGCCTTCCTGCTTTGCTCTGGGAATTTCATGTCTCTTCCCCAAATCCTAATTTCTATAAATTAGGTCAGACTCTTTCTCCAGAATGAGACCCTCTGCGGATCCAACTACAATCCCTTTCTTCATCAGCAGATCGCCCACCTGTTACGTTGCCAACAAAAAGCAGAGTGTATTACCTGTTTATTGTGTGATGTTACATTGTACCTTGGGGAACACTCTGTATACGCCCCTGCATGATTTATTTTGAAAGTATTCCTTGATTTCCAGACAGTAGACGCAAGACACCGTTTCATTTAGCGACGGACCAGGTAGTCTCCTCCTCTAATGACTCTTCTGCTCTGTGCTTCTGTGCTGGGAGCAACGGAATACAGGTAATCCTCATCTTACGACCACAATATTTCCGTTGCTAAGCAGAACGGCCGTCAAGTGAGTTTTGCCCCATTTTACGACCTTTCTCGCCACAGATGTTAAGCGAATCACTGCAGTTGTTAATTTAGTAACCCGGTCGCAAAAGGCGATCACGTGACCCCGGGACCCTGCGACCGTCATAAATGCGAGGCATCCGAATTTTGATCACGTGATCATGGGGATGCTGCAAGGGCCGTGAGCGTGGAAAAACGGTCATAAGTCACCTTTTCCAGTGCCTTTGTAACTTTGGCTGGTCGCTAAATGAACCATTGTAAGTCGAGGATTCTACCTGTAATATTGGAGGGTATAATGCAGAGAGGAGGCTGAATGACCTGTTCTTGGCAAGGGGGGGGGCAAATGGGAGACAAATCTAGAACAGAAACTCGTCCAGAGAAGAACAGTTACTCTCTCCACCTCCAGCTCGGCCTAAAAGAACTTGCACTCAACTCATTTTTGTTGTGATTGTAAACGTGGTTCTTTTTCTGAGTTGGTTTGTGGCAGCCCAAATGGTTCTCCTTGAAGCATCAGTTCCGCCATCTGCCTCTGTGTTCGAAAGACCGGCATGCGCAGTGCATGTGTGTGTGTGTGTGTGTGTGTGTGTGTGTATTTAAACACCCCCCCACAAATGGCAGGATTTGGCAGTGCAGTGAAGGCCCCAACCCTTAGGCTTCCCATCACCCTTTGGATTAATAATAATAATAATAAAGTTGGAAGGTACCCTGGAGGTCATCTAGTCCAACCCCCTGCTCAGGCAGGAAACCCTATTCCATTTCAGACAAATCATTGTCCAATCTTTTCTGTAAAAGCCTCCAGTGATGGAGCACCCACAACTTCTGGAGGCAAGCAGTTCCACTGGTTAATTGTTCTCACTGTCAGGAAGTTTCTCCTTAGTTCTAGGTTGCTTCTCTCCTTGATGAGTTTCCATCCGTTGCTTCTTGTCCTGCCTTCAGGTGCTTTGGAGAATAGCTTGACTCCCTCTTCTTTGGGGCAGGATCGTTCGGCTGCAGCAGCCATCTTGCCTTTTCTGACCTCCCTTTCCTCAGAAACCCCATTGTTTGCACTCTGGCCCCGCCCAGGCCCCAAAATTATTTATTGGGCTTTGCCCAATAAATGTTGTCTGGTGAACACTTCAGCAGCTCTCTTGCGACGTACCTCTTAGCATCCCTCGGCCAGCTCTCCAAGGCAGAAATTGAAGAGGCACCATGCCCATCTCTTAGCTTGGGAGAAAGTTGGCCTAACAGCCTCAAAATCCTAGGAAACAAAGGCATTTGTGGCCTGTTCTAGCAACGGAGGTCAAAGCCGACTGCTTGCTTTGTAAAATCTGGGCCTTTCCCGTTAAAAAAGGGCTGCGTTCTTCAAAACTGGAATCGACCACAACAACCCCTAAGACTGTCTTAAGGGAGAAGTGGGTGCAACTGAATGGATGGCCCCGTTTTTCTACCCAGCTTCCAGCTTGTGGCAAGGGTGTAGCTGGCTGGGATGAGAATTTGATTCCCCCCCCCCCAAAAAAAGTGTTTTGTCCCAAAGTTGCACCCAGGTTGCAAGCTTCCTCTTTGGAAAAAACCATTTAACCTTCTTTTTAAAAAAAAAAAGGCAAATAAAAGGGAATTGCACTTGTGACTCACACGGGGTTTGATCTGGCGGGCACAAAATTCACCCATTTCTATCCAGGATAAATTTCCTTTCCCCCCCCCCTTCCCCTTTTTGTCCTCCCAGGGCTGGAACAGAGTCCCCTTTGTGGTGGGCAGGTTTCAAAGCCACCATAGGGTCCGCCGTTAGATCATATCAGACCCTTCCCCCATCCCAATCCTATCCCAAGATGGCAGGACACACCTGTTTATGGCTAGCGGCAAAGAGATTGGTCGGCCGAGGAAAATCCACCTGCCCAGGGAGGGGTCGACGAGTTACATGTAAGTGGAGCTCTTAGACTTTCTCTGTCTTTCTCCTATTCCAGCTTAAACAAGCCAGACACCCCAGACACTCTGGCAGGCACCCCGCGACGCCGTGCCTCTCTTCGCTTATTTGTTTATTTATTTTTTAAAAATTATTTTTAAGGATTTGATTTTCTTTTTCCTGGTCCGTCGCTTCAAGTCCACCAGGGTCCTTCCACCATCTTGCGGGCTCGGTGAAGGCCCGGCCGTTCTGCCACGCCGCTGCGTCCTCCCCACGCCTTTTCGCCCACGAAGGTCCCGCATCGGCAGGGTTGCGAAGTGGAAAGCTTCAAAGCCGACGTAGCTCGCCAGAGGCCTGCCTCGACTCGCACGGCTCGTGCGTTTATTGCTTTCCCATGCTTGGCTGGGACACCCAAATCATCTCGGTGGCGATGCTGCCTTTGTTAGCGTCTGTCCTGCAAGAAGACTGGCGTCGTATGTCGGATCAGCGTAAAACGGGAATTTCAATGGTGTTGCGGTTGGCTGGTACATACGTGTCTCATCTAGTTTCTTCCTTCTTCCTCCTTCTTCCTGCTTTCTTTTTGGCTCTTTTCTTTTCCCAGCGTAAACTGGAGGAAGTTCTGTACAAACAGATCAGGTTTTGTCTACTTAGAGATGGGAGGCAGGGTGGGTGAGGGGTGGGCTGAGAATTCAAACATTCACTCTTCTCTCCCAGTCGGGGCAGGTAGAGGCATAGAAACAGGTAATCTAATCTGAGGCAGCCAATGGGCGAAAAGGTAAGCCTCTCGGAGGATCGCGACAAAGAAAGCAGGTTTGCGGATCGCGGCAAGCGGGGGGCAACCAAGTTGGGGAAAACCTTCCGCGGGGGGGGGGGGGACAAGGAGGTGGCACGGAAGCAAGAGGCCAGGGTTTGTAACTGTGGTTGGATTCAAAATGCCTTTTATCTTTGTCAGATGGTGGCTTTCCATTCTTGGCCAGTTCGGTCTTTTGCGAAGAAACTCTGTTGGCCGGATCCCTGATTATTGGGGGAGGGAGCAATTAATTGGGACGCCTATTTGGGGGTATTTCTTTGATCCCTTTTTGAAGGAGCACATCCTAGAAGCTTCAAGTCCACCAGGGTCCTTCCACCATCTTGCGGGCTCGGTGAAGGCCCGGCCGTTCTGCCACGCCGCTGCGTCCTCCCCACGCCTTTTCGCCCACGAAGGTCCCGCATCGGCAGGGTTGCGAAGTGGAAAGCTTCAAAGCCGACGTAGCTCGCCAGAGGCCTGCCTCGACTCGCACGGCTCGTGCGTTTATTGCTTTCCCATGCTTGGCTGGGCTCGGTGGCGATGCTGCCTTTGTTAGCGTCTTTCCTGCAAGAAGACTGGCGTCGTATGTCGGATCAGCGTAAAACGGGAATTTCAATGGTGTTGCGGTTGGCTGGTACATACGTGTCTCATCTAGGTGTGTCTTCTTTCTTTCTTTCTTCTTCTTCTTCTTCTTCTTCTTCTTCTTCTTCTTCTTCTTCTTCTTCTTCTTCTTCTTCTTCTTCTTCTTCTTCTTCTTCTTCTTCTTCTTCTTGTTTCTTCCTTCTTCCTCCTTCTTCCTGCTTTCTTTTTGGCTCTTTTCTTTTCCCAGCGTAAACTGGAGGAAGTTCTGTACAAACAGATCAGGTTTTGTCTACTTAGAGATGGGAGGCAGGGTGGGTGAGGGGTGGGCTGAAATTTCATGAATTCAAACATTCACCTTACAACTAGCCAAACCAGTCGGGGCAGGTAGAGGCATAGAAACAGGTAATCTAATCTGAGGCAGCCAATGGGCGAAAAGGTAAGCCTCTCGGAGGATCGCGACAAAGAAAGCAGGTTTGCGGATCGCGGCAAGCGGGGGGCAACCAAGTTGGGGAAAACCTTCCGCGGGGGGGGGGGGGACAAGGAGGTGGCACGGAAGCAAGAGGCCAGGGTTTGTAACTGTGGTTGGATTCAAAATGCCTTTTATCTTTGTCAGATGGTGGCTTTCCATTCTTGGCCAGTTCGGTCTTTTGCGAAGAAACTCTGTTGGCCGGATCCCTGATTATTGGGGGAGGGAGCAATTAATTGGGACGATCCTTTCAATCCCTATTGGGGCTGATCTTGGGGATCCCTCTGAACTGTAAAGCAGAATCTGTAGACAATGGAGAAAGGAGAGATTTTGGGGGCAACCGAAGACAGGAGTGAACAATTTCCAGGCTTGTGGCAGCCTGGAGAGGCCATTTTGAACTGGTCTTTTTTTCTCTCTCTCTCTCTCTCTTCCTTCCTTCTTTCTCTCTTGAACCTTTTGCAACTGCTGTTTGGAGGGAACGTAATGGAGCCCCTTCTTTCCTGTTCTTGCTCGGCCGAGAGGTTCTTTCTCTGCCAAACTCAACCTGCCTCTGCTTGGGTTACCTAGTTGCCCCCCCCCAAGAAGGAGACCCCAATAGGAGCAGGGGACGGCGAGCGCCGCTCTGAAGCCTCCCCAGACTGTCTCCCCATCCTCAGGTGTGGTTTTCGAGGTCCTCCCGCTCAAGAGGAACGTGGCCAACAAAGATGGCCGATTTCTGGAGGCACCTGAATTTTGGCCGCGGGTCAAGGACCGTTGGGTTGGGCGAGGGACAGAGCAGGAAGCAGTGGGTTGACGTTAGAGACGTTGTCGCGGCGTCCTTTGCTTGGCCTCCACCTGTCCACAACGTTGTTCCTTGAGCAGTTCCTCGCCGGGCCTTCCTTTTGAAAAAGCCATTTTTGTTTGTCCGTTTGGCTGCATGAGTGGCGGGCTGTACTTTGTTATTATTATTTTTTTAATGGAAAGATGCTGTTTGGATGGGTTTTGCAGCCCGACCAGTGATTCAAAGGAAAAGATGCTTTCCAAATCATTGAAAAACCCTTTCATAAGGTTTCTGTCCCTTGTCGCCACCGGCTCCGCCAACAGAAGCTGCAACTGCTGGCACAGTTTTGAGGCGGCAAAGTTTTTGCTAGGAAGCAAAGAGGGGTGAATTGGCATTGTGCAGCTGTTCAGATGTGCCCTGAACTGGAGAATTACAGAGGCCAGTATGAGTTGCCTCAAATCACACTGAGAGCCAAATTTCTCCTATTTCCCCCCCCCCCAAAAAAAATCTCAGTTAATTTTAATTGTGTTTCAAACATTTCCAACAGCATCCAGGACATGAATCTGTTTTTTTCAGACTTTATTTATTTATTCTTAAAAACTTACTTAAAAAAATAACAAGTAAATTCATAAATAAACAGATGTTTCTGTTTACTTAACAAACAGAATACCAACTTGTACACAGGCTGCCCTCTTTCCAAAAGAGGTTTTAGAATGCTGGCTGTTAAAAGAGAAATTAAGCAGAAAACTAAATGTTAGCACTTAAGAGAGGAAGATTGGGGGGCAAACTTAAGATTTACCTGGATTATATACCTCCACGCAGGTTTCATGCGCCCCATTTATCATTTTACTGGCTGATCCGGGCTTTGTGCAACCGATTCAATGGTGGATTGTACTATTTGTGAACCAGCAAAGATTTGAACGCGTGCCAAGCACGTTTCCACCTTGATGTCTTTCCTTAATAATTTTTATCTAGTTGTTTGGATGGTGCTTACACTATTAATTCTTTCTTCCAAATGTTCACTGCGTTTGGAATCAAATTAATATTGAATCTGAACTTCTAGATTTCTGCAAGGTTTTCAAGAAAGTTGAGGTCACCTTCTCCATCCCAAGCCATTGAAAGGAGGAAATTCTTCCATTTATTCATTGGATTATAAGTATCCTTGTTTTTTTTCCAGTCCTGCCTCTGCTGGTCTTTTATGTTGAAAAAGTTTGAGCCACCGACCCTGAAAATGGGAAGTAAGATTAAGCATGTAAGTCAATCCCTGCAGGATTGGCTGTTAGATGGATTTCACCCCACCTTTTCTATATTTAACAGGAAAAAAAAACCTATTTTATTCTGGGTTAGATGTGCCCTCCGGCTTCCCTTCTCCCAACCCAATAGACTAAGTTCAGGTAGCTGTAAACAGCAACAGCTTCTGCAGGGCGATCCCTGTCTTGTTTATGAGGTTTATGTTTTAGGTCCTCTGACGCGAAACCAGATTTCATGCCAAGCAGGTGCAAGGGGAAAATTGCACGTTTTAAGACTCCAAAGCCGAGACTTTGCTTTGTTTCAAAGACTCCCGTGCTTGGAGGAAAAAAAACCTTCGCCAGCAAGCATATCTACCCAGCGGTGGCCATTCCAAGAAACTTCGAAATGAAATCATAATTAAAAAGAGAGGGGGGGGGCCCCACGGCCAAAACCACTCATGGTCTCCTTGCCGGCCGTTGCTTTGAGGGAGCCAAACGTAGGTCTGCAAAAGAACCTCGGATGTTGATTGCAGGACTTTTTTCTTCTCAAAGGGCCGGTTCCGACTCTGTATGGGGAAGGACCTTGCTTGCTCCTGAGTTTGGGGGAAAAAAAAAAAATCACAACAAAAATGGGAACTGCCAAGCGCCATTGGTAGGGTTAAACTTGGAGCCGTAGGCTGGACACGGTAGCAAAAGTGGTTAATCAGTAATTTGGGGAAGAATTAGGAGGTTGTAGGAAAGCACAAGGTTTTAATGACTTTTTTTAGGGGGGGGGGGTGTCATCTGTATTTTGTTGAGGAAGAGACTTGGTCTTTAACCTTTCCAGTGCTCAAGGACAGTCTCCCAGAAAGGTTACGTTAAAATTTCCACCCCTTTCCTTTCTCAATTAGATTTAAAAAAAAAAAGAATGGGCAAAGATGCTATCGCTGAAGCAGGCATGAGCAGGGGGAAATGGCATTTAAGCTCCCCCCTCAGAACCAGCAGCAAAGAAAGCCAGCCTGTCCCTTTCCACTCCAGAAGCTATTTATTTGATGATGCTTCCAGATAAGAGCTTTCTTTTCTCATTCTTTGTTCTTCTTGGCCTCTTTGGCTGTTGATTAAGACTTAGCCGGGCAGGCTAACCAACAAGTTAAGAGTGAGGCGTGTTTCCCCCCCCCACTTTCCTAACCTCTTGACTCACATTCCTTTTGAGG